GATGACCTTATCCTCTGAGATGAGGTGTAAATCTCTCTGGTTTTTTCTCTTCTTCCTCAGTTTCTACTGCCATTCTCCTCCCCTCATTGACACTCTAATGTGTTTCATTTGTGACTTAAATATTCATGTATTCTTGTAAAATATGTGGTGCTGCTTTTTATGCACATGTATATCTACTTTCTATGAATGATTTGTCATGTAAATATTGTTGTTTCCTACTTTTATCACTCAACACTATTCTTGAGATCTATTCGTGTTGATTTATATGTATGTTTTGTACTGTTCTTATATAGATATTGGAAATATCTTCTTCCATTCCATTAACTATCTGCTAACTTTGTCTCCTGAAAAAAATTAATTTTGATGCAGTCAAATCCATCAAAATTTTGCCATATGGTTTATACACATTCTCAGTCTTGTTAAAGAAATCTCTCTCCACCCACAAGTCACAACGATGGTCTCCTACATTTTCTTCAGAAATCAGTTACTTGTAGACAACATACTACAGGAAGTCCCCAACTTATGAATGTCCAACTTACGGACAATTTGTACTTGCCCTTTAAGCTTATGTAATTCTGCCCTCATTTTGAAACGATTGAACCATCTCCTACTCAACAAATTCTTCATCACAGTCACCTTCACTTGCTGCATGTGCAACTTTTAAATCACTGAAAAGACTTCAAGCCTTTTCTTGCACTATAGTAATGCTATTTAAGAACCATATGCGCCGGTTCTGACTTACCTACAAATTTGACTTAAAGACACAGCTAGGAACGGATCTCATTCATAATCTGGGAACTGCCTGTACTGGGTCATTAAAAAAAAAAATCTATTCTAAGAATCTATGTCTTTTAATTGGTGTGTTTAGATCATTTACATTTAATATAGCTATTGGTATGTTAGAATTTAGATCTGCCATTTATTTTTCTGTTTTTGTTTGTTCTCTCTGTTTTTCATCCCTTTTTCCCATTTCCTGCCTTCCTGTGGGCTACTTAAATAGTTTTTTAGTATCCCATCTTAATTTATCTATAGTATTTCTGAGTATATCTCTTTGTATAATCTCTTTAGTGATTGCTCTAGGGATTACTATATATATATATGTGTGTGTGTGTATATAAAACTTATCACAGTCTTATTTAGGTGGCATTGAGACAATTTTAACTCATAACGACCCTATGCACACTGCCCAGTCCTGTGCCATGATGTTTGAGCCCATTGTTGCAGCCACCGTGTCAATCCATCTCGATGAAGATCTTCCTCTTTTTCGCTGACCCTCTGCCTTACCAAGCATGAAGTCCTTCTCCAGGGATTGATCCCTCCTGATAACTTATCCAGAGTACATGAGACGAAGTCTCGTCATCCTCACTTCTAAGGAGCACACTGGCTGTACTTCTTTCAAAACAGACTTGTTCGTCCTTCTGGCAGTCTGTGGTATAGTTAATATTCTTCACCAATACCGTAATTCAAAGACATCAATTCTTCCTCGGTCTTCCTTATTTATTGTCCAGCTTTTGCATGCATATGAGGCAATGGCTTGGGTCAGGTGCACCTTAGTCCTCACAGTCTACTAGATCAATGTTTTACTGCTTCAAGTGGAATATAGAAACTTTACTACAATTTAGGTCCTTTTACTCTCCCCAATTTGTGATATGTAGTTGTGTGCCGTCAGATTGATTCTGACTCATAGCAACCATATAGGACAGAGTAGAACTTCTCCGTAAGGTTTCCAAGGCTGTAATCTTTATGGAAGCAGATTGCCACATCTTTCTCCCGTGGAGCCACTAGTGGGTTCAAACTGCTGACGTTTAGGTTAGCAGTCAAGCACTTAAACATTGTGTCACTAAGGTTCCTTATTTATGATATAGCTGTCTTAAACATCTCTACAGATGTTGAAGACCACACTAGAAAATGTTAAAACTTTTGCTTTTAACTTTCAAAAATAATTTTAAAAACCAAGAGGAGAAATAATTCAGTGTGCTTATTCAAATATTTGCCCTTTCTGTTGCTTTCTTCATTCCTAATTTTCCAGGTTTCCTTCTGTTATTATTTTCTGTCTGAAGAACTTCTTTGGCAATTCTTTTAGAGATCTCTTGGCAATAAATTGTGTTTTCCTCCTGTCTTTATTTTTCTAAATTATATTTTTAAAAGATATTTTTACTGGATATAAAATTCTGGGTTGACAGTTTTTTCTTTCAGCACTTGAAAATCTTTTATTTTAGCAGGCAGACAACCCTTTATGTATAGAGAACACACTTCCTGGTCCACTTTTGTGGGTTGTGGTTCAATGTTAATTTAATTTTTGAACACCTTTGCAATGCTATTCTGGGCTGCCCCACTGTGTACTACTCACAGGCCATTCTGAAACCTAGGTGGTATTCCACACCAGAGCTCAATTCTAAAGTTTTTGCTGTGTTGACTCTGGTCAGTTTTGTGCATGGACTATTGAGGGATGAGCCCAGGACTTCATATTTAGATTGAAAAGATCTTTCTTCTGCTCTCTCCTTTCCATAATCCTCTCCCAACTCTCTAGTTTGTATGGGGGAGGAGATGCCACCTCTTCTACTGTTTAGTGCAGAGTGGGCATGGTCAACAAAGCTCCACCAGTCTCTGTGGCCACAGTGCTCGGTGGTAAGAAGGAAAGTCACTCTCTGCTTGTGTTTGTTTAATGCAAAGCAGGAATAGTCAACAGGACTCTGTCCCACTGTCTCTGCTGCTGCTGCACCTGTGGAAAGGAAAAGGGGCACCAGTTTGCTGACATTTACTTAGTGTAGAGTAGGGTGGCTGATTGCACTCCATACCCAAGACTCTGCAGCATGGTGGGGAGGGGGCTGTTATGTCTTTTATGGTGTTTTCTTGGAGCAAGGCAGTTTGAGTCAAAAAGGTTCACCATGCAGAGCCATCCTCTTCCTGGTCTTTCGTCTAGAAAACAAAAAAAACCAAACCCATTGCCATCAAGTTGATCCGACTCAATAGCTACCCTATAGGACAGAGCTGAACTGCCCCATAGGGTTTCCAATGCTGTAAATCTTTTCGGAAGCAGACTGCCACATCTTGTTCCTGTGGAGTGGCCGTTGGGTTCCAACTGCCAACCTTTTGATAAGCAGCCGAGGGCTTAATCACTGCATTGCCAAGGCTCCTTCTTTTGTCTAGAGAGAGTAGGTTTCTCTTCGGCCTTTTTTTTTTTTTTTCCTTGTCTGTACCTGGTGGTGGTTCCAGGTGGTGGACTCCTATAGTACCCAGATCGGAATGTATAGAAGGAAAACAAAAACCTCCCCAGGGCACTCATTGCTGGGTTGTCCCTTGAGACCTAAGTTCCTTAGCCAGTCCACCATCTTTTCTTCACCTTTCAGAATCTATTGATGGTTGCTTTATATGTTACAGAGTTTTTAGTTATAATTAGCAGGAGGAATAGAGTGGAATGCACTTACTCAATAATGTACATATTTTATAGTTTCTGACAAATTCTACCATATGAATTTCTTGTATTGTGCCAACTGCAGTGTCTGCTGACTGTTGCTCATAGAGCATGTTTCCTCATGTGCTTTGTTTAACTTGCAAGTGAACTGATAAACAGTGTTTTATCTATGAAAAGTCTCCGTATCGTGCATTCAGAGTATGTTCTTCTAGATGTGTTTTGTCGTTGTTCATGTCCAGGGATTTATGCAGATCTGTTTCAACTCTCCATCTCACTCAAGGCTTGCACTTGGTATCTGTTCCTGTGTGTCTGTTTAAACCAATCCCTGTGTGCGCAACATGCACAAACAGTAAATACTTAAGTATACCAAAACAAAACAAAACCAACGGGTTGCCATCAAGTCGATTCCGACTCATAGTTACCCTATAGGACAGAGTAGAACTGTCCCATAGGGTTTCCAAGGAGTGGCTGGTGGATTCAAACTGCTGACCTTTTGGTTAGCAGCCAAGCTCTTAAACACTGTGCCACCAGGGCTCAACGGCAACAGGTTAATACTTAAGTATAAACCTGATTAAGGATGTGCAAGACCTGTACATGAAACCTAGGACTGTTGAAATAAATCAAAGAAGACTTAAATAAATGGAGTAATATCCCATGTTCTTGGTTTGGAAGATTCAATTGTTAAGATGTCAATTCTTCCAAATTGATCTATAAATTCAATGCAATCCCAAACAAAATCCCAGCAGGCTTTTTTTTTTTTTTTTTTTTTAGAGATTGATAAACTGATTCTAAAATTTAAATGGAAAAGCAGAGGAACTAGAATAGCTAAAATGATTATACACAAGTTTGGAGGAACCACATGATCTTATTTCAAGATTTACTCTAAAGCTGCTGTAATCAAAATTGTGTGATCTTGGTGAAAGGATACACATAGATTAACGGAATAGAATAGAGTCCAGATATTGACCCACACATATTTGGCTAATTGATTTTTTTACAAACATGCAAAAGAATTTTAATGGAGAAAGAAGTCTTTTCAATAAATGATGCTAAAATGCTGTTCTTGTGATGCTGCAGACTGCCACATCCATGGCTTACTGAAGTCTTGAAAATTAGTTTATCTAGATTTACTTTGATGCAGTTACTGTTGTTTCTGATTCTCCACTCCCTAAATTACAAATCCTGATCCTTTATCTCATTTAAAAATTTAATGTATTATGCATGGGTGTCTTTTAATACAAGGCACTGAAAATTCTTTCTGGAAGCAGGTGGGGTCATAATAAATATTCTACAAATACACGAGTGAGTTTGTACCATTATGCTGGGTTGTCTACAGGTTTATAAAGTTTGCACTTAGAAGACTTCCTGTCAGCTATTACCAGAAACCCAGGAAGTGAGCTTTAGGGCTTAAACTGCTTAATGCATCTTCCAGTTAGATCTATTTTTCTATCCCTCTATCAACAGTGATCGCCCAGTAAAGAGTGATTGGCTTTGAAATTTCTAAGCAAGGTCTCTAAGATGTTATACTGCTCTCTCTGGTTTTGTTCCTAGTGATCATTGCACATATAGTAATCACATGATCACATTTAATATTCTGATGGTTTTATTAACAAGTATATAATACATATATTGCATACTGTATATAGTATATGAGGACTGTACAGTACAAATTTATGTTCACAGTTTGACATGACAAAATGTCATTACTGAATTCCCATTGGACTACAGAGTAGAAACAGAGAAGGTACATTAAACATTCACATCTTTAGTAAGAAAGATTACCAAAATGTTTCAGTATTTGCAAGTATACTAATGCATGCTAAAAACCTTTACCCATTCAGTCTTATTAGCTTATAAAATATATTACACTTTATTAAAAATTTCTGCATAGTTTATACAAGTATTAAAGTACTGTAAATGTAATAATCCTGCTACACTTGCAGGTATGGTTTAAGAGATGCTAAGCAGAAAGATTATTTTGACCCTCTAACACTAAGTACATAACAGCAAAAAAAAAAAAGTGCTAGTTATTTGTAAAACATATTGTTGTAGCCCTCATTTAATGCATGTAAGATTGCTTTGTAAATGTATTATTTCTTAAGTGAATTTGCAATCATTTAGGAATTGTTAACCTTGACCAAGAAGAGAATAAAGACAACTCTCAGCAACTTCATGTATGGCAGGAATTCCTTCAAGACTACTGTATATTTCCAAACCTATCAAGTTACTTTCAAACCACAGCTCTTTGAGATTGTCTTTACAACAATCTAATCAGGAATGATGTGCAGATATACAGTATCAGCAATACAGTCTTTCAAATTCCACATTAGTGCAATACTGATAGTGCAGATGGGTGTTTAATAAAATACACATATATATATCTAGTTCCCCTGTAAATCTGTTTCAAGGCTCTTGAAACTTCTGCGTATTTAGCATCTCCTTAAAAGAACATAGCAACGCTGTTAACACATTCTCCAAACCAAGCAATTTATGTTAATGCCCATTTTTGATGTAGATTCACATTTTAAAACTCTAAAACATGATGGATTCAGATTTAATTGTTCTGACTTCTTCCCCAAAACGACACCTGGGTAATAATCCAAGAAATTCCATAACAAACATACTTTACATGACACTAACTTCATGTTTACAAATCATTCTCACCAATTTAAAATATTGCAATTAAAATCACTGATGATAGTAACAATGGCACATCATTAAAACCACATGTTCAAGGGCATCTTAAGATTATTTCGTATCTGAGGTCTTCCACAATAACAGCTAAAAATGACTAAGAGACTAAATTTTTCAACTATCATAGTAAAATACAAATATATATATATATAAGGAAAATTTGGTAAGGGCCAATTGGTAACTAAAGTATACAGAACAGCATGGGAATAGAGAATGGCTTCTCTGGGTTGCTTTTCTTTCAGAGTTAAAATGGATCTTTGTTAATGAACTTAACATAATGCAAGCAAGCTGAAGAGTAATGCGATAGTTTTTGCAAGGTCTTGCTTGCTCTTTTGAACAAAATTTAAACATGCCATAGCAAACACATTAAATTTCATGAGAACCCATAAAGTTTTCTATTACTTGGACTCAGACTCAAAGCTAACTCGAAGATCAAGTCTACCTTTGCCTTTTTTTTTTTTTTCCCCTCCTTCTATACAGGTTGGAACACACATAAACTGGTTATCTGCATCAAAACAAAGATGTTCCTTGCATTCCTACTGGATTCTTCGGTGTGTTGTGTAAGAACCATTTCAAGAAATGAACACTTTGGCATGACTGTGACTAAGCATTTATGATACACACAATATCTACTTTTCCAAGAGCCATTTATCCCTCAAATTCATGTCATAGTTACAAATAGTCGAGTTAGGATCCACTCTAGTATTCCAAACAAATTTTGCAGTGCTTAAAAAGAAAGAAAATCAAACCCAAGTGCCAAGATAACAAATTGCTTTTCACTTGCAGTTGATTCACATGGCTGGATGAGGGAGATCTTAGGTGTGCAGTCCCTACAACTACCCTTTTTTAGCATAGCCCCATCAAAGTAAGCTCCCCACGCAATTCACAGGCCTCCAGAATCACTCATTCCTGGGTGTTTTAAAAACGATTACACAAATCTATTCCTCCCAGTCAAGTTGTGCTGGATCCTGAGTTGTGGCTGGGATGAATCTGCAGGATTCCATTTTTCTCTCTCCTCCTCCTCCATCCTTTATCAAGGGATGAAGGCACATCTGGTTATGTGCACCCACATGGGACCACTGTTGCCCACTTTCTTCAAATTTAGGACCAATGGCTTTTCTATGCATAAATTATTTTTCCTGGCATTTGGACTATGGTACCTACTCAAAAGCCTGCTTTTGAAAACCTTCCCCAGAATGATGGTGTTATTTATCTTCAACATAAACATGAGTTATTATTTTCACTTTGTTCTTCTGACAGCTCTGACAGTAAACGTTTTAAGAATTTTTGAGCAATATATATGAATTCCTGAACTGTGGATTTCTGTATTTTTCAGAAATCTGTCCCAAAAATAAAGACATGTGCTTCATAACTAGTTATACTGACAAACGGTGTCACTCAGGTCATAAATCGAATTAACCTACTAAAGCATTAGTAGATGCTTATGTATGATATGCATCACAAACACAAATGACAGCCAGTCTGGCACCTTCCATATAGCTCATACCGTATAGCGTATAGAAGAGTTTCTGTAAAGAAGCTATGTGATTAATTCGATATGGGAATAAATTACCACTCAACATTTCCCTGTTTCAAAAAGGCTATAAGCAGGTTGGGTAAAATAAAGACCATCCATACCTTTACCCAAAAGATTTTTACTACTACTGGGTAATTACATTTTTGTGTTACCAATGCTTGGTTATTCATATTAAGGAGACTGTAGGAATGGAGATGGTTGCATGGATAACCCCATAGGTATCTGGCTCTGCAGTATCATTTTGCACAGCTGAGTATGCATAAAGAGCAAAACCCTGGGAATGCAATGCACAGCTAACCCAATGATGAAACCTCACTGAAAACCTGTAGCTGAGGAGGAATGGCCGGCTTCCTCCTTTGTCCCCCTCTGCTGCTTCTCCCCTGCTCAATGCTCCTTTCCTCCTACTCCATGCTGTGTAAGCACAGCATCCACCCAGTCAAGGTGGGTGGACTGATACACACCACCCACCTAAACCAGCAGCTTTGGCTCATCTTCTAAAGGTGGCAAAGACCTCCATATGAACTGTAGGCACAATGGAGGGTAAAATCCTTACTTTAGATGCAGTGATAAATCCGGGTTGACAAGCAAGATTTGTGGAGCACAATGGAAGCGTTGACTGTACTAGCTTGACATCCTGCCGCACGTCTAGTTAACCAGTGTTGGAAAGGGTCCACCATTCTTTTCGCTGTCGAGCACACAATGCGATCACAGGGCACAAAGATACAAGTGTCTCTGGCAAGGACTAGCAGGCTGGATACTGTATTTCTAATACATTTACTTTGACATTCTTTTGAGGAATACATGGAGAAACCGACAACTAATTATGTTAGTTTAGAAGTTCCCTTGTTCTCAGTACATTAAACGTATCTGTAAGAAGGGTTTGCTTAGCATCCCCGGAAAAAAAAAAAAAGTGTTCACATTCTTTAGGTCTGACCCGTGGTAAGGAGAGGGAGGATTAGAGAACATCTACTATTGACCACATGGAAGTTTTGAATGATATAAATTCAGAGATTCAGACCAGCTGAATCAAAATTAAAATGTACATGTAAAAAATGAGTTAGATAATGGGAGGGAGGACAGAGATAGAGCCAGAAGAGTGGGGAGTCGCGTTGAGGCGGGAGACGGAGGCATTCAAACTAGCATGTGGCGTTTCCTATGTAGGGCAAGATGGTCAGAACGGGAGAAGCTGCGGTCACAGTCTGGACACTGGAAAGGTTTGATTCCAGTATGTTTCCGGAAATGTCTTGTGAGTTCATCAGACCGAGCAAACTTCCATGTGCAGCCTTCCCACGTACATTTGTAGGGTTTTTCTCCTGCAAAAGGAAAAAGAACAGAGCTTAATGTTTCTGAAAACAAAAGGATATTAATTAGTAAAGTCAGTAAAGGTAAGGTTTTGGCTCTTAAGGCTCTTGACGAATATTATTTACAAGACAGAGTCATACATTTAGCCCCCAGTAACACAGTTCTTTCATAAACCACTACAGGACAAGCGAGAAAAAAATTAATTCTCTTAATGTTTAACTAGTTCTCTGCCAAAAAAGGGGGAAGGGACTTTAAGAGTTCTTAACGTGTGTCGTTGTTAGCTGCTGTGAGTTGGCCTCTGACTCATGGCAACCCCATAAAGAACAGAATTGGGCCGTTGTGATCCATAGTTTTTGCTGGCTGGTTTTTTGGAAGTAGATCACCACGCCTTTCTTCCTAGCCTGACTTTGTCTGGAAGCTCCACTGAGACCTGTTCAGCATCATAGCGACACACAAGTCTCCAATGACACATGGGTGGTGGCTGCACTAGAGGTACACTGGCCAGGAATCAAACCCAGGTCTCCCACATGGAAGGCAAGAATTCTACCACTAAACCACCACTGCTCTTAAAGTATATGTCTTAGTTATCTAGTGCTGCTATAACAGAAATACCACAAGTGGTTGGCTTTAGCAAACAGAAATTCATTCTCTAACAGTTTAGGAGGCTGGAAGTCCAAATTCAGGGCACCAGCTCTAGGGGAAGGCTTTCTCTGTCAGCTCTGGGTGAAGGTCCTTGTCTTTTAACATCTGTGGGCCTGGCACCCCTTGGAGATCTCCACGTGTCTTGGCATCAATCTTCCCCTGGGTCTAGGAGATTCTCAGCGCAGGGACCCTGGGTCCAAAGGACGTGCTCTGCTCCTGGCTCTTCTTTCTTTGTGGGACTGGGTCCCCATTTCTGCTTGCTTCTCTCTCCTTTTATCTCTTGTAAGATAAAAGGTGTGACTCAAGGGCATGGCTTGAATATCGGTGGTAAGGGTGGTGACTGGGGTAAGAGTGCTGACTTGAGTCACACCCTCTAGTAAGGTGGTGACTCAAGATACAGCCAACCTAATCCTGCCCCATTAACATAACAACAACTTACTCTCAAATGGGACCAAAGCCACTGGCACTGAGGCTGGGATTTACAACACATCACAAAATGGAAGATAATTATATCAGATCACAAAATGGAGGTCAACCACACACTACTGGGAATCATGGCCTCGCCAAGCTGACACATATTTTGAGGAGACACAATTCAACCCATGGATAATATTCCATCCTTTGGTCCCCAAAAATTCACCTCCTTGACACATGTAAAACATTCACCCCATTACATCATCCCAAAAGTCTTAAATTGACTTCAAGTCCAAAATCTCATCTGCAAAATTCCTCTTCATCTATGAACTTGTGAAATCTAGAACACAAGTTATCTGCTTCCAAAGTACAATGGTAGAACAAACACAAGGTAGACATTTCCATTACAAATGGAAAGACGGGATAATAGGCACCAAAGAACTCCAAAACCCAGCAGAACACATTACATTAGCTAGACCATCTATCTGGTCAACGGCCCTACCCTCCAGACTCTGGGTGTTGTCTACGTTCTCTGAATTCTGGGTGGAGACCCCTCGGCCCTGGGCTTCAGCTCCGCCTTCCATGCCAACTGGGATGGCAACTTTGTTCCCTTGGCTTTGGACAGCCCCATTCTCCTAGTTCATCTGAGTGGTGACACCACCCCCTGGGACCCTGGCAGGTCCTGTTCCTTTGCCCCTTGGGCATGGCAGCCCTGCTCCCTCAGCTTTGGGCAGCGGCTCCAGCCTCATCTCCCTAGCACTTGTGAATGGCAGCCCCACACTCTGGAACTGAGTTGGTGAAGATCTGACTCTTTGAAACCTAGGAGGCCATGGCTCCACCCTCTGAAACCTGGGCAGCTCTGCTTCCCGTGCTTCTTCAAACAGTTCTGCTGATCTCTAAACTTCTCCAGGGATGGCCCTTTTCTTTTTTTGGAGGACAACAGATGTAGCTCTCTTGGCCTGTTTCCTGACCACAGAATTCCAAGAGGCAGAAAGCATCCCCTCCTTCTATTCCTTCTCTGTTCCCTTCAGTCTCACAGGCTTAATTTCTTTAATAAAAGATTGTGTAGCCAAGTCCTTGGTGAAAATTCTGGGATATGTGTCCTTATTTCATACAACAGAATTTTCCAAATCTTCAAGTTTTGTTTTCATTTTGCACCATTCATTTTTAAGTCCATCTCTTTCCTCTCATTTTACTATAAGCAACAAGTAGAAATCTCATCCGCCAGATATTCAAGCTCACCACAAATTCTACCTTCTACCAAACATTTGAACATAATTCAGACAAGTTCTTTGCCACTGCATAAAAAAGCATCACCTTTCCTCCATTGTCCAATCACATGTTCCTCATTTTCTTTTAAAGCCTTACCAGAAGCACACTTAACGTCCACTTTTCTAGCAACATTCTGTTTCTGGCGTCTTATGTATTCTCTAAGACGATAGAGACTTTCTCTATAGCTCTCCTCACTTCCTTTTTGAGCCCTCATCAGAATTACCTTTGACATCCATAATTCTACCAACAGTCTCTTCAAGGCAATCTAGGATTTTATTATTAGGCACCTTAAAACTCTTGCAGCCTCTACCCATTACCCAATTTCAAAACAGCTTACACATTTTAGGTGTCTGTTGGAGCAGTGGCACCCCACTCCAAGTACCAAATTCTGTCTTAGTTACCTAGTGCTGCAATAACAGAAATATCACAACTGGATTCCTTTAACACACCGAAATTTATTTTCACACAGTTTAGAAGGCTAGAAGTCAGAATTCAGGGTGCCAGCTTTAGGGAAAGACTTTGTCGCTCTGTCGGCTCTAGGGGAAAGTCCTTGTCTCCTTCCAACATCTGTGGGCCCAATGTCCCTTGGAGAACTCCATGTATCTTGGCATCATTCTTCCCCTGGGTCTAGGAGGTTCTCAGCACAGGGACCCCAGGTCCAAAGGATGTGCTCCGCTCCTGGTTCTTCTTTCTTTGTGGGTACTGAGGTCTCTATCTCTGCTTGCTTCTCTCTCCTTTTATCTCTTGTAAGATAAAAGGTGTGATTCAAGTAAGGGCGTGGCTTTAATAAGGGAGGTAAGGGTGGTGACTAGGGTTAAGAGTGGTGACTCAAGAAACATCTCACCCTAATCCTGCCTCATTAACATAATGGGCAATTCACTCCCAAATGAGATCATAAATGCAGGTGTAGAGGCCAGGTTTTACAACACATTACAAAATGGAGAATAATTACATCAGATCACAAAATGGAGGACAACCACACACTACTGGGAATCATGGCCTACCCAAGTTGACACGTATCTTGGGGGACACAAATCAATCCATAACAGCATACAAGTCTGAAATCCATGCTGAGAAGCTACCAAACTAATTTCGGTTTTGACTTCTACTAACAGGATGAATAACTTAATAAACACCTGACGAGCTGTATTTGTGTATTCTCAAGTCTTAAACTTACTTGGAAACTTAATCATATGGAGTGCTATCCATTTAATGAGAAGTCCAAATCAAAAGTTTGTGGTATATTATTGTTCTTTTCAATAATTTTCTAAAAATATGAAGTCTCTATCAACTGTCAGGAATTTGAGCATCTTAATTTGTTGCTTAGTCAATCACTCAACCGAAAACCAAACCAGTTGCCACTGAGTTGATTCTGACTCATGATGACCCCATGTGTTTCAGAACAGAACTGCCACCATAGGGTTTTTAATGGCTGTGACCTTTCAGGAGTAGACAAAACAATTACTCCTAAATATAACGCTTTAACTCAGAAGTACTGAAAATATAGTAATTCCTCCCCTTTCTAAAACCTGATCCTGTGGGATAATTTGCTGATGAGGAACAAAAGACTCCTATGGGAAGATGACAAGGAGAGTTAGTATGAAGAGTCTCACAAATAAAAAGCATACTAAAGAAAAAGTATGTTAATGGCAATTTTACACGTTTAAGTTAGTAATAATAGGTAATGGATATCACAAATTCATTCCCATTTACCTCCCTGGATCTCTAGAAATCTTGCAGGATTGCCACTTCTTGGCATTTCAGTGGGATACTCAGAATTTGTGTTATCTCCTTTACTGCACAGAATATAAATGCTAAGAGGCATTTTTCCTATATCTGAATTACCATATAAAAATTCAATGTCTTTTTAATCTTAGGCTGGGAGTTGATAACACCCACCTATCAGGTCCCATTAGTGCCCCAAGGATACTTTTATCAATCTATGTGGCACTGATGATTGGGAGCCCCTGGGTTACGCAAACGGTTAAACCCTCAACTACTAGCTGAGAGGTTGGCGGTTCAAACCCACCCAAAGACACCTCGAAAGACAGGCCTGGCCATCTGCTTCCAAAAGGTGACAACCTTGAAAACCCTATGGAGCAGTTCTACTCTGCACATTTGGGATCTCCATGAGTCAAAAACTTAATGGCAACTAACAATAAATGTGGCATTGATACTGGGTGTTTCTCTAAACATAGGGTTATAACCCTCAGCTGTCTCTGTGACAGTATTAAGCCAAGGTAGTACCCTAACAGGAACCCTTGGTCTCAGCACCTTTTGACACTGCCTTTCCCTCCTCATCCTCTGCCTCCTCCCCAGGATTCACTAAAAAACTTCACTTCCACACTGTTAGCCACTTTTCTTCTCTTTTCTCTCCCCAACCCTAGACTCCGCTTTTAGTAAACATTCCTAATAAGAATGACTCACAACACTCAGAAAAACAACCCACATTCTGGGTTAAGGAAAACGTACACTGAGGTAAACTGCCTTTATACTAGCATTTCACTTCAAGGAGTTTGAGGTTAGATAGGACTCACTATAAACATTAATCACTACTACTGTTCACCATTAACCAGGTGTTTAAAATATTTTGGTACAATTTTCTTAGACGTTTTGCTACCAAAATGTTTAGGAGTACTTTGAACAATTTCACCTTTTCTTCATCTATAAAATGATCTTTATATGATCTGGCTGCACACACTCTATATTCAATACCAGGCAAGATAAAAAACACCCTAGGAATTATAAATATGGCAGGCAATAGCATAGAAATTCCCCAATTTTATAAGACAGTAATTAGCCAAATTTCTTCACTTTTCTTTCCTTTATTAAGTCTTCTACTTGAATTCTGAGCTCCTGAGTAATGCAAACAGCTAAGGGCTCAGCTACTAACCAAAAGGTTGGTGATTTGAATCTACCCAGAGGCACCTCTGAAGAAAGGCCTGGCAATCTGCTTCCAAAAAATCAGCCTTTGAAAGCCCTATGGAGCATAGCTCTACCCTGACACACACACAGGATCACCATGAGTCAGAATCGACTTGACGGCACTTTTGATTTGAATTCCATTTCTATTAAACGGCTGCATTTATGTGCTCTGCATAAAGAACTTTTCTTTGCTATCCTGAATCAAACCATGAATGTTTGTTAAATGACAGCCCATACGAAGACTAGACCCTTGATGACACAGGCCCACAGCTGTGAGCACTTTTCTCTTTGTCCCTGGTGAGACTCCAGCCCTTTCTCTCTTACTACAGACAGGACATAACTACAAGTGATTGTGAGACCCTGTTATGTGCAGAACCTTGGATCTGTTCTCATTTGTTAAAAGAGCAAGTCATCATCAAAACCTTCATTCTTCACACCTGATACCAAAAAAAAACAAAACTAAACTGGTTGCCGTCAAGTTGATTCCAACTCATAGTGACCCTATAGGACACAGCAGAACTGCCCTATAGGGTTTCCAAGAAGCGGTTGGTGGATTCAAACTGCCGACCTTTTGGTTAGCAGCTGTAGCACTTAACCACTATGCTACCACAGTTTGATGATAGAGACAGCTATAGACAACTAAAGCAGCTTTCAAGATGCCTGAAAAGTTTTGCTTACAATAACCTCTAAAGCTAGGACTGTTGTCTTTAACACTCCCCTCCCACACTCTTCAAAAGAAAGGGGAAGAGAGTGTTGCATCTCTAATACCTGTATGTGTTCGTCTGTGTGCTTTCAAGTGAGAGCTCTTAGTGTACACTTTGTTGCATCCGTCGTAATCGCATCTGTGTATCCGCCGCTTCCTCTGGGTGTCTGGAGACTCCACAGGTAAAGGTCTTTTCCCCGGCTGTACTATGACCGAAGGGTGATTCCTACAAAAGTCAAGGTTAAATGTAAAATGTTGAGTAAAAGGCTCTTCCTTTTCCTCAGTCGACTAAAAGCATTAACAACACTGGGCGAAACAAACAAACAAACAAAACCCAACAAAATAAAAAGAAATTAGCGGATCAACCCGAGAAGCACTGCTATATTCATTCAACAAACATTTATTGAGCACCTACCATGAGCCAGGCACCGTGCTTGGCACCGGGACACAAAGATGAATAAAAACAGGGTTCCTGCCCTCGAGGAGCTCACACTCTAGGGGAGACAGACATGTAGATAAGTAACGACAGTAAGAAGGGTTAGGTGCTAAGCTAGAGGGAGGAGGCACAAAGGTCTAGGAGAGCCTCTTTCCCTCAATAAAAACTTGCCTCTGTATAGAATTTTGTGGTACTAGGCCCTGGTGGCACAGTGGTTAAGAGATTGGCTGTGAATCAAGAAGGTTGGCAGTTCAAATCCACCAGCTGCTCCTTGGAAACCCTATCGGGCAGTTCTACTCTGTCCTATAGGGTTGCTATGAGTCGAAATCGATTTGACGGCAATTGGGGTTTTTATTTCAGGCAGTGCTGAACAGTAACACTATATGACGTTTTCCCACAGGCTGGCCTGATTTTCATTTAGTGTTCTTTAGGGAAAAAATGTAAAAGGTCAAATTCCTAAGGCTCAGGCAACCTATCTACATTTGATCCTTTACGTAACTCTGACATTTAGTTAGTCTCTTAAGAAAGAACGGCAATTCACATTTAATGTTCAAATGTTGGCTCTTCCAAGAAGAAAAGTTGACACTGCTGGCTTCACAAACTCGAACCTTTGTTGTGACTATTATTCCTGAGAATGGGGAGAACTGGGCGAGGGAGCCCCTTACTCATGACAATGGCTCCAAAGCACAGCACCAGCTGCCTTGGGACACCTGGCATTCTGCCTCTTCTGGTTACTCACACAGACTCATATTCCTGCGTCTGCACTCCTTTTAGGGTGGGCATGAAATCGGATCGTGTTGAACGTCATTGCTGTGAACGTTCTCTCTTTCAGAAAAGAAGGTGGAGGGAAGGAAAGGCAGATGAGGGAAAGAATATAAAGTTTTCTCAAGCTTCCCCAGCTGATTAATTAAGCAATTAAAAGGGTCTAATCTGTTCACTTGCTTTCCTTATGATTAATTACTTGATACATTACAAGCTTATGTCGTTGGCCTCCAAAGGTAATGAAAGATTTCTTTTTCTTTTAAATTTGAATTTGCGGCACATGGTTGCAATAATCATATGAGTGTTTTGTACAAGTGTGTATGGGGAGAAAAAAGGCTGGTAAAAAGGAAAAAGGAGTCTGATGAGGGTAAACACCCATGTTTATGAGGTACAAAAAGAAAAACAAAATTTAGCCATAAAAATCAAAAGGGAGTCCTTGAAATGAGACTTGTTTTTGGTCCTGGAAAACATTTGGATACAACTCGCTTATCAACAGTACTTACACTTTTTCAGGCATGCTAATAAGAGACTAAGAAAACAATAGGAGGTGCCTTTATTTTAAGGGAGCTTACCTATTTCTCACATTTTTGTTATTAGCAATGAAAACTGTCAATTTTGAGTATCACTTCACCTCCCTACCCTGAATAAAACAGCCAAGTTTAGAAACATGGAAAAGTGAATGTGAAAGAGTGAGAAAAAAAGAACAAGGACTTCCATTATACATAAATTTAGACAAATACCTGAGAAAATAGAGAAGTCAGAGGTTTATGGCAGATAGTTTTTGTAAAGCTGAATTATTAATTTAAAATCCTTTAATAAAAATAAAAACATAACTGGTTTATCTTAACCCTTCAACTTTAATCCTATTTAATGAAGATGGTTTGTCTTCATTAAGAGCAGAACTTCAGGAAATCAAATGCTAGGGAAAAAAACTTCATGGTTAAATAATCTGCTATTCCTTTGGGACACAGGGGCAGGGGGAGGGTATCCCAGCTGATTTTAGAAGTCGCTCCCAATTATCAGGTTTTATGGGTTGGGAATCTGTCGAGTAGTTTCTGAGCTGTAATTACAATTGCTTTTTCCAGTCGCACCTTCTGTTATATAAAGATACGCTGAAAGGCTGTGTACTCCAACTTTAAACCCCAGCTTTGTCACTGATAGCCCCTGTGGCCCTGGGCAAGGTACTTGGCCCTTCTATACCTCGGTTTCCTCTCTGTAAAATGGGGATGATGATAATATCATCTCAGAAGATTGTTGTAATGTACGTAAAACACTTAGAACAATACCTGTCCCAGGGTGAAACTTTTAAATGGTAGCTGTTAATACTTCAAGGTTCAGAAATTCCTTACTCATTTGGAGACTTAGCACACTACAGCTGTTTAATTTTAATGAGTTTTTACCATGTCCCAAAACCGGATCAGGAGATCTCTACTCAAGCTAATGTCTGTCTCAAAATGTAGCAAGAGTCTGAGACTGGTTAGCAGCCCCATCTCCAAAGAGCCTGACGTTGGTACAGGCTGAGGCTGGAGATGAGGGTCTTAGGCTCTACCCTTTTTGGTCTCTTTACTCCTCATTTTTAGAGACGTTGTTTGGGATCATTATAACCAATAAATGAGAATAGCTTTAAAAAATCAAATACCTGGTAATTGTTTTGGGCTAAGCTGACCCCTCTTAAATTTGCTACAAGTCACATACACAACTAAATGGGGAAACCTTGTCCTCAAGTTTTTTGTTCTAAATACTTTCACATATGTAAATACATAACAAAAGGAAGCTGATATGTTTGAGTGCCCTTAAAAATAATTCTAAAGCTGCAACTCTGTGATTGAACAAATGGATTTCAAAGTCATATTTTAGAGTCTGCCTCTTGAAAGAAGGGTTTTCTAAGGCAAATATTATTGAGCTGCCTCATCAAAATGGTACTAGGCGTTTGGTTTCAAGTGATTCTTTCCTGGCTAGCTGGTTTCCTATGTGGGCTGCTACTGGGTACCCTCCAAGACATTACTTAATCACATCTGTGAGAAAATTACTTAAAGAGTAGACTTCCCAGTTGTGGCTAATCTGTAGAATTTTTTGAGGAGCAAAATGCATTCTTATGTCAGCATTAAAATAAGCATATTACTCATGAATCATAAAAACCATTGGGCTTGAGATCATCAAAAGGACATATTTCAGTAAAACTGGAAAAAGTATTTCCTTTTCAGCAGCATACAGAGCAGTGTATTGCCTTCAAATACTCCTCTTCTGTCTTGTTTCACATTGTAATTCATAATAACGTAGACTTCAAAATAACCCTTTTTCAGCCAGTGGGTTCCTATGTGGGCAGTTGGCTATATTTAGTTTTATAGCAGCTTATCCATCACCTGTGCAAGAACAACCACAAGTGCATGCTAGGTTGCTAGTTACTTTCCCAAAGAAAAGACACCCCTCATCATAAAAAGAGAATTCAGGCTATAGAGCTTGTACATTTTGTCCAGTTGTTCTATTTTTCCTTTCACCCAAGCGAGTACATGAACACAGATGCAATCAGTTAAACGTAGACAGGATGGCGGGAGGAGCACTCTTCTAAAGGCAGGAAATCAAGCCCAGGTCCCTTGTTGTTGCTAACAGTGTGATTAAACAAACAAAAAAACCAACCAGTTGCCATCGAGTTGATTCTGACTCATGATGACCCCATGGGTTTCAGAGTAGAACTGCATTCCATAGGGTTTTCAATGGCCGCGATCTTTCGGAAGTAGATCACCAAGGCCTTTCTTCCGAGGTGTCTCTGGGTGGATTCGAACCACCAACCTTTCAGTTCATAGCCCAGCGCTTAGCCATTTGTGCTACCTAGGGACTTCTAACAGTGTGATTACAGGTGAGTTATTTCATGTCTTGGCTCATCGGTTCTCCATTTCTTCTGACTCCCACATGCTGGTTATAGGGGAATAAAATGAAATAATTCCTTTGAAAACACTTGGAAGTTTCTTTTTTTTCTTCCTGAGGGGAGGGGGTACTACATAATTGCAAAGGGTAATAATGTATAATTGCATCAGAGACTTTCTCCCTATCAGCTAACTTGGCTGGCTGAAAAGATTTATTCTCTGTTCTTCATCTACCAGGAAGTATATACAGACAACTGTTATGGGCTGAATTGTGTCCCCCACAAATATGTCTTGTAAATCCTAACTTCTATGCCTGTGGTTATAATCCCATTTGGGAATGGGCTGTCTTCGTTATGTTAATGAGGCAGGATTAGTGCAGGATGTGTCTTGAGTCAATCTCTTTTGAGATATAAAAGAGATTAAATAGGCAAGAGAGGAAGCCGAGATGGGGGAAGAGGGATGCCAAGCCACATGAAGATCACCCAGGAGCAGAAACTCAAAGAGACAAAGACCTTTCTCTACAGCTAACAGAGAGAAAGCCTTCCCCTAGAGCTGGCACCCTGAATTCGGACTTCTGGCCTCCTAAACTGTGAGAGAATAAATTAGTTTGTTAAAGCCACCCACTTGTGTATTTCAGTTATAGCAGCCGTAGATAACTAAGACAACAACCAAAAAAAACTGACTCTGATTTGGTGCAATAGACAATTAATACATGAGCTACTATCCAGCACCTACATGAGTTGAACACGGATACATCTAGAACATATCTGAAGTCAACAGAAAACAGCTGCTCTAAAACTTGAGAATTCATGTTCGGTTAATGGTGTAAGGGAGAGGGGTGGTGAAGACACTGTAGAAAAGTGGGCAGATCATTTACTCGATTTGGAGAAAAGGTGATGTGGGAGGAAGATGACAGAAGGGACCCTGTGGAGATAATAGTTGTTGCCTTTGTACCAGGAAGCTAGCTACTGAACCCAATGTTGAAAGCACCATAACACAAGACAATTACAACAATAATAAAAAATAATTACAACCAATATGAAAAAAAAGAGGAAAATGAGGTAGCAAGATAAAGTAACTTGCAAAAGGTTACACATATGGTGGACAGGAGAGATGGGATCCAAGATGTCAGCTACTACACACAGCCTCCAATGCAATCACTGGTAAGTTAAGAATATCTACAGTGGTGAATCCATTAAGGATGCTATTTAATCTGTGTGTATCACCTACAACAACTACCACTCAGTGCTCAGATGCTGACCCATGCACCACAACCTTCCAATTGGAGGGCAGTTCTAAAGGTGACTGAACAGTCTACAGGCAGATAGGATTAAAAACACCAGAGAATAAAGAGTTCTTTCAACACTTAGCCATCCTGAAATATACAGACAACTTTCCGTTTCTGTTTTGGAGGTCTCTCTTCGCCTTGTGGTCAGCCTGAAGACTTTGATTAAAGACGTACCCCATAATAGAAACAGTATACTCTATTAGAAGTGACAATTAGGAAGACAATGTGTGTCTACCACATGAAAAGTTTTCATGATTCAACCTAGAACACCAAATTCACTCACGTCAGAATTACAATTATGTGAAAATTATGTAGACAGCCTGAAAGGATGAGGAAACAAAACAAAATAAAAATGATTTCTGCAATAAGGTGGCAAAATCATGAGTGATTATTTGATTGAAGACTTGACATAACTGTGTAACAGAGAGCATGCTGTTTTTGGAGATTCTCACGTCTTGACCAGTCAGCATGGGGCCACTGTCCAGTGGCTGCCACATACTATAACATGCTCCTGGCAAACCACACCCCATCATGCATTTGAAGCTTGTGCTTCCATTCCAGGATCCGAGATGTACACTGCTACGCAAATGCCAGGTAGACCTAAATATACTTACTCTTGCAACAATGCTTGCGGGGGGGACACTGAGTTCATTAAAGGGGGTGACATTTCTTCAGGATAATAATCTGTCCTCTGTGGTTCAATCCCAGGTTCTATTTTAATTTTTTTCTGTAATATAGGCTTCTCATATGATTCAATTACAGGTACTAAAAAATAAAAATGAAAAAGTACAATTTACCAATTTCAGTTTTAAAAGCTTACTGCACAGCTCTTATCAATAACACTGATGTGTATTTATCTGCCTTTGGCAAAGGTTACAGGGGAAACAGAATCTGTGAGGAAATCTATTTTCTCGTGACTCTTATTTTGCCAGCATATATAAGGGTTGGACGCCAGCCCTTAAATGGTCCTTCTCTATGATTTCTGGTTATGTTCTTTCAACCTCATTGTCAGGTGACCAGCCAGTAAACAAGGCTGTTAAAAGTCATTAGCTACCACCATGATCAAAAGGTATTTATTAAATGCCTTTTTTGCACCTAGAATCATGTTGGCGTTCAATAAAGCAATTTATAAAGTTAAGACTCTTACTAACCCAAACTTGACAATCATATACTGAAAATAATCATCTGACAGTATCACACCGTGAGCCTAATTCTTGGGAGCTCTTAAAAAGGCAATGTCTTAGGCCGAGTCTAAGGGGAATATTTCCTTTTAGGAGTTCAACAGCTCTTTGCTCCCTCCCCAGATTGTCTGGTGAGCACCCAACGGGCGCGCAAAGCAGAGTGAGTGGCAGAGGGAGTCAGCAGTGGTATTTACCTTGCATGCTGCTATTTGAATTGTCCATCTCCTCCGACAAGGAGACCATGAGCGGCTGCTGGAGGTGGCTCGTGTACATAAACGGGACAGGCTGCACCACGACGGGCTGGATGACAGGCAGTATTCCTGGGCTTCGGATTCCGTGCCGGGAGAGCGCAGCAGCCATCACGGGAGGCATGGACAGCGGCACACTGAAGGGCTGCACTCCGGCTGGAGGGGGCGAGTATTTTTTCATCGGTGGGCTTGAAGAAGGCACACTCAACCCTGGTGAGGTTCTCCGATGTGATGACTGGAATTTCAGGGAGGAAGGAGAATGCCCAGCCGAAGGTGGTGAACTCCGCTTGTTCACGGTGAGGTCCACTGGCTCCATCTGTATTCCATGTGATAGGCCTTCTGAGGTCTGAAAGAACTTATCAGGTAAAGGTGTGGAGTAAATGACTCCATACTTGTTGGGCTTCATGGGCTCCATGTAATTAGAGGGGTAGGACTATTGGAAAAGAAAAAAAGAAAGGTGTCAACAGATGAAGTAGGTACATGTGCTTGAAACACAAATTAAGGTGAAAATATGCAACAAGTCACTTTCAGTCAGGTGAGCTTTAAAACTCGATTTAGATTTAGATATATATTTAGCCCTAAAAAATGCTGCAAGAGAGCTGGTCTAATAAACATTAGAACTGAGGTCAATGTATGGAGTCTCTGAGTGGTGCGAACGATTAACACACTTGGCTGCTAACCAGAAGGTTGGTGGTTTCAGTCCACCAAGAGGTGCCTTGGAAGAAAGTCCTGGTGATCTACTTATGACAAATCAGCTATTGAAAACCCTGTGGAGCACATTTCTACTCTGACACACACAGAGTCACCATGAGTCAGAGCTGACTCCATGGCAACTGATAAAGGTCAGTGTGGTTACTGTATCACACTGAAAATCTGAAATTTAATTCTATGATAGTCCCTATCTGTCATGGATTGAATTGTGTCCCCCAAAAATGTCTGTCAACTTGGCTGGGTCATGATTCCCAGTACTGTATGATTGTGTACCATCCCGTAGTCTGATGTAATTTCTTTATGTGTTGCAAACTTAGTCACTATGATGTAATAAGATGGATTAGCAGCAGTTATACTGATAAGGTCTACAAGATTAGACAGTGTCTTAAGCCAATCTCTTTTGAGATATAAAAGAGAGAAGTGAGCAGAGACACATGGGAACCTCATACCACCAAGAAAGCAGTGCCAGGAGCAGAGCGCATCCTTTAGACCTGAGGTTCCTGCACAGAGAAGCTCCCAGATCAAGGGAAGATTGATGACACAGACCTTCCTCCAGAGCTGACAGAGAAAGCGTTCCCCTGGGGCTGACGCCCTGAATTCGGACTTGTAGCCTACTGGACTGTGAGAGAATAAACTTCTCTTTGTTAAAGCCATCCACTTTTGGTATCTCTGTTACAGCAGCACTAGATGACTAAGACACCATCTCAACATTAAGTCTGAGGCTGATACCTGGAAAAATTTTAAAACAGACTATAAAACAGAAAGCTTATGAGTCTTTAAAGACTATGGTTTCATAAGGAGTAAGTGATGGGGTTCACCAGGAACCGGCCAAGCCAAACTAACCTCTTTGCTTCTCTGATGGGGTTTGATTGGCAGGAAATAGGCTTCAGCTTTAGTGTCTTTAACCTCAGGACATTTACCTTTCCCATGATATACTTGTATATACTATGAAGAAAGGGGGCTGGCATGATAGTACCTTTGGACAGGCTTCAGCTGCTAAATAATCACATGCAGAGGGTGACTAGCAGTCCTGTTTGCCCAGAACTTTCCTGGTTTCCCACATTCTGGAAAACTCCTCAGTCCTGGGCAAACCAGACTGGTCAGCTTCCTCCCAAATCTAAGATCTCTTTCACAACTGACCTAAGTGATCTTCAAATGCCTTTTTCTCTTACAATATTAGGAAGATCTAGCTCTTATCTACCAGCCTTAAATACAAATCAACCACAGTAATTTCACACAGGCACCCAATCTGTGGCTACTGTCCTTTGGCCATGGTATTCACTAACTATTTAAAAAAAATTTTTTTTAAAAAAAACGAAATCTTTGTTTTTGAAAAAATTAAACAACATGAGCTATTTTCTTTATATATATTTAGGAAAACTGAAATTTTTGGTGTTAACATGTCAAGTCCACCTTCAGAAAATCACTCATACTTGAATGTTTTAAAGTGATAAATGACATATTGTTTCTCCCTTCCAACTCTAAAATCCTGTGCTTTTATGATTTTGAGAAAATACTAATTCAGGATGCAATTGAGAAAAATCACCAATGGTGCCTTATAGTTAAACAGCCAAAATGCACAATTAACTCATCTAATGCCCTTCCCACCTAATAGCCACTACCATTAAGTTATAAATAATTGTGGAGCTGTTGTTGTTAGTTGCTATTGAGTCAATGCCGACCCCATGTGTGCAAAGCAGAACTGCACTCTGTGAGGTTTTCAAGGCTGTGATCTTTCGGAAGCAGACTGCCAGGACTTACTTCCAAGGTGCCTCTGGGTGGACTCAACCATCCAACCTTTCTGTCAGCAGCCAAGTGTGTTAAGAGTTTGCACCATCCAGGGACTACTAACATATTTACTTATGTATTTGTGTAAAGTATGCACAATGAGGGTTTACGAAACTAAGTAAATATGGGGTGGGGGGAGATTTTCCTAGTTCTATAAAGTTTAACCTGCTTTATAAAATTCTGGTTTTTATAGGAAAAACCTTCTGGAAATAGGAGGCAGCATTCACTGTTTACACTCATCAAAATGTACTTTTCTCTTTTATTTTCAGCCTTTTCCTCAAGGACCTCCCCATGACCTAGTTTTTAATGCAAATAGTTTTTGCCAGGGAAATGGGAAGCAAAATTAGGACACACATTTATTGTCGTCATTGTTGGCTTGTTTTTATCCATATTGTTGTTGTTAGGTGCTGTCAAGTCAGCTCCAACTCATAGCGACCCTATGTACAACAGAAGGAAACACTGCCTGGTCCCGCGCCATCCTCACAAAAGTTGCTATGTTTGAGCCCACTGTTGCAGCCACTGTGACAATCCATCCTGTTGAGGGGCTTCCTCTTTTTCGCTGACCCTCTACTTCATAAGCATGATGTCCTTCTCCAGGGACTGGTCCCGCCTGATAACATGTCCAAAGTACATGAGACAAAGCCTCACCATCCTCGCTTCTAAGGAGTATTCTAGCTGTACTTCTTCCAAGACAAATGTGTTTGTTCTTCTGGCAGTGCATGGTATATTCAGCATTCTTCGTCAACACCATAATTCAAAGGCATCAACTCTTCTTTGGTCTTCCTTATTCACTGTCCAGCTTTTGCATGCATATGAGGCGACTGAAAACACCATGGCTCGGTTCAGGTGCACCTTAGTCCTCAAAGTGATATCTTTGCTTTTTAACACTTTAAAGAGGCCTTTTACAGTAGATCTGCCCAAGCAATGCATCATCTGAGTTCTTGACTGCTGCTTCCATGGGTGTTAATTGTGGATTCAAGTAAAATGAAATCCCTCACAACTTTTATCTTTTCTCCATTTATCATGATGTTGCTTATTGTTTCAGTTGTGAGAATTTTTGTTTTCTTTATGCTGAAGTATAATCCATACTGAAGCTGTGTCTTTGATCTTCATCAGTAAGTGCTTCAAGTCCTCTTTGCTTTCAGAAGCAAACTGTGTCACCTCCATATTACACATTGTTAATGAGTCTTCCTCTAATCCTGATGCCCCATTCTTCTTCATATAGTCTAGCTTCTTGAATTATTTGCTCATAATACAGACTGAATAAGTATGATGAAAAGATACAACCTTTCCTGATTTTAAATCACACAGTACCCCCTTGTTCTGTGTGAACGACTGCCTCTTGGTCTACGTACAGGTTCCTCACGAGCACAAGCAAGTGTTCTGGAATTCCCATTCTTTGCAATATTATTCATAATTTGTTAGGATCCACACAGTCGAATGCCTTTGTAGAGTCAATAGAACACAGGTAAACATCCTTCTGGTGTGCTCTGCTTTCAACCAAGATCCATCTGACATCAGCAATGATATTCCTCATTCCACGTCCTCTTCTGAATTCAGCTTGAATTTCTGCCCGTTTCTTGTTGGTATACTGCTGCAACTGCTTTTGAATGATCTTCAGCAAAATTTTACTTGTGTGTGATATTAATGATACGGTTCAATAATTTCTGCATTCTGCTGGATCACCTTTCTTTGGAATGGGCACAAATATGGATCTCTTCCAGTTGGTTGGCCAGGTAGCTGTCTTCCAAATTTCTTGGCATAG